GAGAAGCAGGGAGGGCTTCAGCACAGGAACCAGTTCCTCAGCAGCAGCCACTGGAGACAAGGAGTGCCTGCCTTCCTGCTCTGTGCCCCAGCTTTTATATCTGAGCTGACCTCATGTGCTCTGGAATATCCCTGTGGTCAGTTTGGGCCACTGGCCTACTTGGGTTCCCTCCCAGGATCTTGCCCTCAACTGAAGATGGAATGTGACAGTGCTGATGCTGTGCCAAGCTCTGCTCAGCAGTAGCCAAAACACTGGTGTGTTATCAACACCCTTCCAGCTGCCAATGCAAAGCACAGCACTGTGAGGGCTGCTGTGGGGAAATGAACTCCAGCTCAGCCAGAACCAGTACAGGGGCCCTCCCTTGGCAAGTGTCCTGTCCCATTGATGTTCCTGGAGGGGAGCAGAAGGTCGAATTGCTCCATCCATTATGTCATCTTTTTGGCCTGAACTTGAATTCTTTACTTTTGTAACAGAGTTTTTTAACCCACATTGCTTGTCTAAACTCCACATCTCATTAGTGGGGAGCCCAACAGCCTTATTTTGGGCCATCCCATCTTTCAGCAAGGCAGCAAACATTTCCTTTCACAAGACTTTATTGTCTTCGACCTCACCATTCCTCTCCCACTTTGTCTGGGTCCCCATTCCCCCAAATCTCCTAACTGCTGGATTTTTTCTGTGACTTCTCCTATGAGGTTTCCTGTGCCATTTATCAGTAAAATCCTAATAACACTTTCATATGCATGTGGAGCTGTCTTAGTAATCCTTTTTTGAACTGGAGCTGGTAATGCCATTTTGCAGCATGGTGTCTGCACACCAATAAACCCAGCATCTTCATTCCTTCCCCCTTAGTACGCTGAACACAATCCCGTAGAGTATCCCAGGGCCCATCTGCACTGGGCTACCCCCTTCCACAGGCTATTTTCTAGTACAGCCTTCCACCACTACAGCCAACAGGTAAGTCTCCACAGCTGAGCCTTGGAAGGTATCCTGAACAAATGAATCAGACTTTAACATTACAAACTTCTTACTGTCTTCCGAGTTGAGTCTAATCCCAGAGGCTCCAAGATCATGCAGCCTGACTACCCAGGAGATGAAGGACTCTCCGGGCTATCGTTTAAATGTATCCATAATATCTTTGATTTCATCATGCCTAACTGGAGAACCAGTTCCAATTTTCTCTGTGTTATTGGCTTTGCTTCAGCAAACACTTCACCCTCTGAACTACCATCGAAATCAGTTGAATCCCAGATATCTGCATCCCATTTTTCAGGATCCCAGTTTATCCCTGACTCTGCAATCAGAGCATGCACTTTATTCTTATTTACTCGACCCCTTTGCTTTCAGTATTTATATTGGGCTACCCCAAGAGCCACTCTTTCTTCTACTGCTTGATAAGTGTCCAACTTGTCCATTAACAGTCAATTCTGGCATTGCACCTTAACTATTTTCCCTTGCAATTCACATACTTGCTTCTCCAAATTAATCTTATCCTTACACATTTGTTCTCTCTGTTGATGCTGCTTTTGATATGCAGCCAGCAAAATTCCTCCTCCTCATCTCCTTAGAGCAGTCCATCCTTCCCCTTCTCCACTGAAACTTTTTGTAAACATTTCAGTACATTAGGTGGCTCTGCCTCCTCCAAACAGGAGTCCCAGTTCTCACATAAACCATAACACGACCACTCAGGAGCCCAAACACAACAAGGTAATTGTTCCCAGCCAGGAATACTCAGGTTTACATCTGTCTTGGCAACATTTTTCTGTACTTAAAAAAAAGCCATTTTGTTTTGTACCCCATGCTGTGTTGCCAAATCATTTTGCTGACAGGCAGGGTACTCAACAAAAGGACTATACACTAGTCATTGCAAAATATGAGAAGTTTCTCAAACAAGCACAATAAAATTAATTGGAGATATATATAAAAAATACAAAAGAAAATTAGCAAAGTATCAAATAATTACTTCAGAGAGAGAGAGATAACAGTGATTAAGAAGAAATACATCACCAATCACCACCTAATGCTCAACATGCAGGTCCAGAATTCAGCTGGGAATCCCCATTACAGCCAATGCCCAGAGGCTCTGGTAACTGGGAGAATCCCTAGGGCATTGGCCAGGCATACTGGTGTGGTCAAATGTAGAGGTCATACACGTTTCCTGCCTCTTTGCAACACACAGTCATAACAACTACATACTTTATTGAATACAGTTTATCAGAGACCTTCTTTCTCATAGACATGAGGAGGGGTCAGTTCTTGGCTAAGTTCTCACCCGTGACACCCTGTGAGTGTAACACACACTGCTGACACACTCAGGAACCACCAGCCATCCTAACTTACAGCTCCCTCCTTCCACCCCAGTCTGGGTCAGCTCTGGATTCAAACAAACAGGATTAAATGTTGCTCCTCAGGCCCCATCCTCTGTTCCATCAGATCCTGAATACTGTCTCCTCTGCTCTGTGAGATAAAACTGTGGGATTCATGGATTCTCAGTCTGTCTTCATAGAAAAGCTTTCCAGGCCTCTGATAATATGTAAATATATTATATTTGCACTATACTATCCATCTATACTCTGTTGTAATATTTCAGATTAAAGTCTTTTAGTCTAATCAGTATGATCATCAATTTTAAAAAATCATTTATTTTATTGATATCAATGTATTTGGTTTGCCATCCTTAATCCTGCAGGACAAAGTTGTGTACAGGCTCAGGTACACATCTCTGGGACTGGGATCGGATCCAGATGCAATGACACTCTTCTCTGAGAAGGAGTTTAGAAAGCCAGGGGGTTCTTTTTGCACCTGACAAAAATGTCTCCCTGATTACCCTTCTCCAAAGCTTCTGTTCTGGACATGACCTGTGGCAGCTCATATCGAGTCCCAGCACAGTGATTACACAGTGCTGGGATCATCCCTTTCGCTCCTCCCCAGTGGTGTGTTGGCAGCAGACACTGAACCTCACACTTGCATGGTGCAAGTGCTGTTCCTTGTTTCTGTGCACCTTAAAACAAGGCTTTTGACCATAATTCCAATTTTATCTATTAATCAACCCTGCTTTGGGAAAAAACATATCAGAAATAAAGGATAATCAGCCAATTTGCATGAAAAAAATAGGTCCGATTGGCTGCAGTTTGTAGTTGGAAAAATCTGTTAAGAGGGATCCAGTAAAGCAGACTAGCCACACAGTTTCTTCGTTAGACCCTAGACAAGGAATAAACAATGAAATGAGTCCCTAACAAAATGGAGCAGTGCACTTTGTTTGCAGGGTCCCTTGCCATGGGGTGAAATTTAACAAGCTTAGGACAGCTGTTGTGATCATGATATTAGATCTTTGAATGTTTAAGCTTATGCACCATTTCTAAAACTATGAGGATCTCACTATTTCCTGGCCTTGCAAGGTTCATCAAAGAGCTCTGGGAGGAGACAAACAGATCTTCAACAAGGTGAAGTGCCAGGTCCTGCACTTGGGTCACCATAACCCCTGCAGTGCTCCAGTCGTGGGGCAGAGTGGCTGGAAAGCTGCTTTGTGGGAAAGGGCCTGGGGATGCTGTTTGACAGCAGCTTGAACATGAGCCCAGGCGTGGAGGAGAGACAGGGGAGCCTGGTCTGTACCAACCATGGAGTGACAGCAGGACCAGGACAGTGACCACTCCACTGTGCTGCGCCCTGGTGAGGCCTTGCCTTGAATCCTGGGGTGTTTGGGGCTCTTCATGATAACAAAGACATTGAAGGGGCTGGAGTGTGTCCAGAGAAGGGCAACGGAGCTGGGGAAGGGGCTGGAGCACAAGTCTGATGAGGAGCAGCTGAGGGAATGGGGGGAGGGCTCAGCCTAGAGAAAAGGAGGCTCATGGGGGACCTTCTTGCTCCCTGATAGGAGAGGGAAGCCAGGTGTGGGCTGGTCTCTTTTCCCAAGTAACAAGTGGCAGCACAAGAAGAAAGGGCTTTGAGTTGTACCAGGGGAGGTTTGGATATTAGGAAAAATTTCTTCCCCAAGCATGTTGTCTGGAAAAGTTTGCCCAGGGAAGTGGTTAAGTCCCCATCCCTGAGGGATTTAAGAGTTGTGTGGGCATGGTGCTTGGGGGCACTTGGCCATGTTAGTCCACAGTTGGTGTACATGGCAAAATTTTGGTAACAAGGGGCCTGCAGATGTGGCCTCTGTGAGAACTTCTTGCTCCACAGCCAGTTCCAGCCAGCTCCAAAATGGACCCAGCATGAGTCAAAGCTGAACCTACAAGTAAAGCTGGTGGCACCTCTGGGAAAACATCCCTAAGAAGGGGCAGGAATTGCCAGCTAGAGAGAGGAGCAGGGAACAACAAGAGTGAGAAACCAAAGAGGGAACAGCAAGATCAGAGGAGGAGGAGATGATCTCTGGTGGAGCAGATATTCACTGCAGCCTGGGAGAATCCACATTGGAACAGGGGAAAAGTGTGAGAGGAGAGAAGCAGCAGAAGGGAAGAACTAGGTATTGACCACAACCCTCCCTCCCCACACTGCACTGCCTGGGACAGTGGTGGAGTATTCTGAAATAAATGAATAAAATTGAGCACAGGAAAGGGAGAAGTAGAGGTGTTTGTTTAGTATTTATTTTTGTTTCTCACAAGCTAAAACTATTTTAATTGGCAATAAATTACATCAGCTTTCCCCAAATCCAATATGTGTTGCTCCTGATAGCCACTGGTAAACCATCTCTCTGTCTATATCTCAACCCATGAGACTTTTTGTTTCAGTTTTTCCTGTTTTCTTCCTCTGCTCCATCCCACTGAGGGGGGAAGGAGTGAGTAGGAATTTTCTTGTTAGCTAAGGCTAACACATCACAGCCAGGAGGCGAAATACTGAGGCAAAGCTCAGGCTGGGTACTGGAAGGCTGGAAAATCCTTTCTGTGTTGGCATCTTTTGGTTGCTAACAGAAGGTTAGCATAAATGTAGAAGCATAAACCATTTGAAATCAGCATCTTTAATTCACAGTTACACAATACTGATATCATGTCTGAGAAACAATTCAGTTACTTGGGTGGGCTATTCCACAATACACGACACGCCTTCAGCATGTTCTCCTTTAAAGCTTGTTTGACTTGCTTGTTCCTGAGGGAGTAGATTTATGGGTTAAGCATCTGAGTCAGCACAGAGAAGAAGAAAGAGAGAACTTTGTCAGAGTCCTTCCCACCTCGCTGCGTTGGGTGGATGTACCTGTAAATACAAGTGCTGTAAAATACCATCACCACTATGAGGTGAGCTGAGCAAGTGGAAAATGCCTTCTTCCTACCTGCAGATGATGGTGACAATAATGCAGCCATAAGAAAAAACAGTTACTATAAAGGTACCAGGTAGGATGATAATTAGTGTGATGAACATCAGTTCTTCAATGAACCCTGTGTCTGAGCAGTACAGCTGCAACAACAGGGAAGTATCACAGTAAAAGTGGTTCATGACATTGAGACCACAGAATGGCAACTGGACAGTCATAATGGTGGGAGGAAACATCAATAGAAAACTCACTGCCCAGCATACCAGGATCAGCTGCAGGGAAAACCTGCTGTTCATACTAGTTGTGTAATGCAAAGGGCAGCAAATGGCAACGTAACAGTCCAAGGACATCACTGCCATGTGGAAAAGGGTGCAGGTACCCAAGTAATAGAAAAACAGCATCTGAAAGAAACAACCAGGCAGGGAAATTGTCTTCCTCTCTGTCAGAAGGCTGTAGAGGGTGTGGGGAATGAATGTGGAGGTGAAAGTGATTTCCAAAAGGGTGAAGTTCCTGAGGAGGTAGTACATCGGGGTCTGAAGGAAATTACTCACAAGAGTGATGCTGATGACAGTAATGTTTCCAAGCAGGATCAAGAGGTAGGCAATGAGAAGAAACAGAAAGAGGATGACCTCCACGTGGCGGCTGTTGGCCAGCTCCAGGAGGACAAATTCCACTACTCTTGTGTGGTTCATTGAGGCGTCATTGCTGGCAGAAAAAGAGCCGGTTTGAGAACTACTGGAAAGCAACTGAACACACATCACTTTGGCTTTGCTGACATTAGAGGGCAATACCAGCAATAAACCCCTTGTGAAAGAACAGAGCAGCCACAGTAACCACATTTAAGAATCATGTTCATATAAAAGGAGTCCCAGGCTCCATTTGTAAGACTGAGTCCTCACTCCAGTTGAACTGATGCCTACAGCTCTGTCTCAGCAGAATTGAGAGGTGCAGAAACTGTTACAGACCAAGGATCTGGGAATCAAGGAATTTCTGAGTGTTCTGACAATATTCACCCTCCAACAAATACAGGAAGAAACCCAATGCACCCAGGGAGTCCTTTGACACTTATCTCAGAAGAATGCAATCACACTGCAGAGTGACTTTGGAGCAGATTAGATTAGTTGATGGATAAATTAGAATTGCAAAGGAGAAACTTGCTGCAGTTAAAAGGAGACAGAAGAAGGGAGAGAGAGAGGAGGGAGAGGCCTTACAGAGACAAGGCCAGACAGAAAGATAACAGTGCAACAAAGAGAAGGATATCTGGTACCACTGAGAAAAGGCAGAACACACAGAGAAATGTGTGGGTGGTACAGTAAGCAGAAGTAAAAAAGGGGGGAATGGGAAAAAACATGGGAAGATTGTCCTACTCTTTTCATTTGCCCTGAGCTCCACAGCTTCAGTGGATCAACTCTGATGGTGATGGACATTATTTCTTCTTCAGAGTCCCTGTCTCCAAGCACCCCTTCACCTTACAACACCCTACCCCAAGCTCACACTGCCCAGGGCACCGTGTCTACTGCAGGAGCCACCCCTGTGGTAGCCATTTCCTCATGGAAGTTTAGTGGAACCTGAAACCTCTGCCTGATGCCCCTCAATCGCATTCTTTTCTTGCAGGTTTCCCAGGTCCCATCTTTGGTTTTTCAACTTCTCCCTCCTTTATCTCCCAGCCCTCCTCGCCCTAAAAGGAGACGTGTCCTGTTTTGCACTCAGGTCTCCCAGGCTTTATCTATTATGTCTGGATCTTTTAATCTGGTTTAAAATAATTTCTGACTTACTTCAGATATTTCTGAATGACTGAAATGAAAACCAACACAATGAGCTTCCAGGGAAAGCAAACCCATCTTACATAGCTCATAACCCATATCAAACATGACACTCAATTTTCATTCTTCTAATGCTGAACAAAAAGATAGATATAAATTAGGATGCTACAAGCCTTCTTATCACACTGTTCCTATCAAATCTTTCCCTTTAGTGCCATTTTTCCAGCAAAACACAGAGTTTATTAGCACCATCCCATGGTTATTTCTCAAAAAACACTAATACAAACCAACTTCAATAACAGCTAAAAGCTTTTACTTTAGATTGAAGACTAAAAGTTCAGTTTTCCAAGACATTGCCCCTTTAATTTTTCCCTATCTTCAAAAAAATCACACCCAAACTCTAAGAAATGGTCCAAATAGTTACCAGTATATCTACAACAATCCGGGATGCCTCAAGAAGGAGTCTCAGTCTGATGTTTCTCCCTAACTTAGTTTGACATTTGATTTTTGGCAAACGAATTTCCTCTCTTCAGGTCCTTCTTATAAAAGTGGCAACACATTACAGTCTTGTGTTTCTTCACCAAGTCAACCCTCAGGGACCAATTAGGTATTGAAATCTCAAAAAACACCTTGTGGGAAAACACTTGAGAAAGTCTGAAGAACAACAAGAATGTAATAAAACCATGGAGAGAGTGAGACTGGGGAGGACCTCTGGGGGTCCAATCCAAAGCTAAAGCAAAGTTGACCTCAAAGCTGGCCAAGGTTGCTCGTGACCTTCTCCAAGGTTGGATATCTCCAAGCATGTAGATACCTCAGCTTCCCTGTGGTACTACAACTTTCCTCATGCTTCAGCATTTTCATTGTGAAGAGTTATTCCCTTGTGTGCAGTGGAGATTCACTTTAAGCTGTGATCCACATCTCTTGTTCTGAGAGAACTGGCTCTGACTTGTCTGTAACTCACCCCAATGGACAGTACAGCTGATCCCTCCTCTCCACTTTGTCTTCGCTCTGCTTCTCCTCATATATCACGTGCCCCAGTTCTCTGATCAACTTGCTTGTCTTCCACTGGTCTCAGACCATTTTAATAAAATCTTCTGGGTTTTTTTACTGGGTGTGGGGAGCTGTGCACAGTTCTCCAGTCACACAGTGTCAAGCAACATGAACTTCACATCTGTCTGGAAGAGCGGGGGAGTGCAGCCTGGCCTGCAGTGACCCCTCAGTGTCAGAGACACCCTGCTCAGCATGTCAGCCCCAGGAACCACAGCTCTGTCTGCAGAGTTGCTCCACAGCCAGTCAGTCTCCAGCCTGCACCCATGGATGTGGTTATGCAATAGTTATCCAATCCCAAGTGCATGACAAGAGAGGGAGCACATTCCTCCTCGCTTAGAACAGCCCCCCAGCTACTGAGATTGCCACCAGGGGCTGAACTCAAAGCACCAATGTCAGACAGGAGTCATAGAACCATTAAGGCTGGAAAAGACCCCCAAGACCATCAAGGTATTTGGACCAAATACCACTATTCCTACTAAAGCATGTTACAAAGTGCCACATCTATTCATTTTTTGAAATCTTCCAGGGATGGTGACTGGAATATTAAACCACCCTTTGGCACCATCCACTGTTCTCCTTTCACTTTTAGGAATAAAGTGACGCCCAAAGTGAGCAGAGAAAACACTAACCAAATTAATTTCTAAGTCAGTGAGAAGGCATATCCAAGATCCTTACTTAAATTAGGATGCATTCATCTCCATCAGCTCGTTTTGTAGCTGTGGAGAGGAAGAAAGGACAAGCAATCATTTCTGAAAATCTCAGTTCTGCAGGAATCAAAACTCCTCTTTGACTGGTAATATTTTCTTGCTTCCAGAAGGAAGTAATTCACAGGTTGGGTTTAATTCCTTCACCACTTATCAAAAAGGAATTAGACACCTTTGTGTTGTACAACTTACTCTTCACCAAGCTGGTGTAAATCAGGACATGGTAAATCAGGACATGGTAAATCATGACAGCAAGTGAATTACTTCAGATAAGGGGGGTATAAACAATCCATCCATTTACAAACAATTCCTTCAACAGTCAGGTCGTGCTGACTTGTTGAGGCTGTCAGGCCATACTGCAGAAATCTCCCAACGAGGAAGTCTGCAAACCTCTGCCTATGAGGTCTTTACTTCTTCATTGGGGAAAGGATTAGCACAAGTAAAAAGCTTCAGAAATTTTCGAGTTAGTATGGTTGCAGCAGAAGAGATGGATTCTGGATAGCATGGGGTGAGGAAAAATGTAAGAACTTCCACTTGTAAGTCCAAAAAGAAATCTCAAATTCAGGCAAGAAATCTCAAATAATCTTTGAGTATTCATTCCTGGGTTTTAGGTAGAGTGATGGCCATCAATTTCTTCTCAAAGGCCTTGAGAACAATAGGATGGGTTTTGTAGTTGTTTAATTGTTTTTTTCTAAGATGTTAATTGTCTGACCCAGTTAAGAGGAATTAAAAGTATATTAGATACTAAATCTGAAGTTCGTTCTAGACAGAGAAGAACAACATAGGGCAGAGGCAAAGATGTTTAGGGGAAACAAAAAGAAGTAGCACTGGAGAAAAATGGGCAGAGAATCTCCATGGGAGTTGCAAGGGTGTTAGAGGTGCAGAAAGTGGGAATGCCTGATTACAGGGTCCTTGTAGGGTGTTTTTAAAATAATCACTTATAGAATTATTAGATGATCAAAAATCTCAGAGTAATATAACTTGGAAAAGACCTCTGGAGATCTGTGGTTCAACTCAAAGCAGGACTGAACTGCAGCAGCTGTGCAAGGCCTCTTACAGTTCAGCTCTGAAAATCGAGAAGACATTAAAGAATATTTCAGGATCCCTATTCCAGTGTTTGGCTACATTGTGAAAAATCTTTTCTGAACATCTAACTAAAATTTTTTGTGTTCCCATCCTATCTCTGTGCACCCTCAAGAAGACCCTTTTATACACCCCACCAAAAGGTAGCTGAATGTCACAGCAAGGTCCCACCTGAGCCTTCTCTTCTTGAGACAGCACAAACCCAGCTGTCTCAGCACCATGTCTTGTGCTCCAGCCTCCACCTCTCCCAGACTTGCTCCAGTATTCCAAAGTCTGCCGTGTCCTGGGGAGTCCTAAACTGGAGCCAGTTCTGCAGAAGGGCTTTCACAAGTGCTGAACAGAGGGGAACAATCACCTTCCTCAGCCTTTGCTCGTGTTATGATGACCCAGAAAATGCCCTCTTTACTGAGTCATGTTCACCTGCTCACAGTAACTCCAGGGCTCTTTCTGCAAAGCTGCTTTCCAGGCAATCAGCCTCAAGACTGTTCTGTTCCATGAGGTTATCCCAGATCAGGACTTTGCTCTAAACTTCAATGAATTTGGTGCTGATTCTTATGATACATTTCTTGACCTGTCAAGTCCTTGCTATCCAGGCTATTGACTGTTCTGTCAAACTTGGTATGGTCCACAAACTAGCTGAGAGTGAACTCTGTCCCATCATCCAGGTTGTTAATAAAAACAGTGTTGATTCCCAAAGGATTCCACTAATAACTATCTGCCAGTTTGAGTTTGCAGTATTGACCATCACCTTTTGTACTTGAAGGCCCAGCACTTTACAGTTCACCCCTCCACTGCACATGTCTCCAGGGTTTCATGTGCAGACCAGCTCTGGGGTACCAGTTGTCTCCCTCCCAAAACACTGTTCTTCAGGGCCATGGACAGATCAAATGCAGGCATTTTCTGATGAAAGGAAATCACTTACAGCCTGTTTTTCTTCGAGCAGCAGCAGGGAAAGTTCCCACAAGTCCCAGCAATCCTGAGCAGCACCAAAAGTGTTGGAGTGCCCCAAGACTGCAGTGACCATCTTCACCCAGGATGTGGTGTCACAGGGCTGTCGGGGTTTGGTGATGTGGTGTCACAGGGCTGTCGGGG